AGTTAGCCTATGCGAATTAGTATGCTATAACTTTCGAAGTACACAACAGTTAGTTTGCTATGGACGCAGCAAACTTACTGTTAATGCATGTTATTTCAATTCTTTAGTAAATGGAAAATGCTGAAATTTCCCTTTGAAAGAGTCGTAGAGGGGACGATTATAACACTGCCTGTGGCAGAGAATTAGCACCGTAAGAGCACAGACAATCAGAAACCGCAATGCGGGTAGTAGAATGCTATCTGGGGATACATGATTCTCCAGTAACCGTCTCCTATTTGCCCCAGTTTTTCGTAAGATTTGTTTTAAGTGTTACAATGTTTAACTACGTCAGCTGTATATGCTGTAAATTTGCGAAAGTTTCACAATCGAGTGAAAGTTTGGATATGTAAAAATTATATTCCATTCGAAATGTGGATACATTCTTTTTGGGCGATGATAGGAACAAATTGCAGAACAGGCACGCTAGGCAAAGCATTATTCCGAGGATGGTGTGGGATTTCGAAACTAGAAGCCCAATCGTTAATGTTATTGCTGTGTCTTTGGAGGATGTTATAGAACTAGTCGCTTAGTTATTTACGTGACAGTCTTCCGCCCGAAATACCCTCGCTCTAATGTTCAAAGTGGTTTAGTCAAACTAGATAAATCGATCGACGGTAGAAGTATGCAGTCAAGGACTTTAGTGGTCTGACATGATGTGGACTGAAGGACTGGTTTAAGGCTCAATTTGCACAAAAGTGTAAATGGGCTTGCGCGTTCTAAATAGTCGGACTTTTATGGTGATCTTAAGCGAATCGACTTAATCGTACAAAAGTTTGCAAAAAAGAAGTTCTCCTTATTTTCATGAATAATGACCAAAAACTTTCAGTAGATCCAGGCCACGACATAAACACACGCTTAAGCCTTTATTTTGAAATAGCCGGAAGAGTACAATTTGTTCACGTAAATAGTCCATCTGTTCCGCTCCTGTATGAATTTTGAGAGAAGTTGGGCGACGGATGAATTACACCTATATTCTGTCCAAAGTCTCCGTTCTGTCGATGATAATCGCCGTATGTTCTCCAAGTGTAGTTTGCTGGGTTTCTAAATTGAAAGTTTAAACATAACTCGGTCTTGCTTTTAAGTACGGTAAAAAGATCGAACGTTTTCGAGTCCGGTGTTCATTTCGGTAAGCGCAATATAGAAAATGTTGCAAGTACCTTTATTAATGGCAGAAGTAGAGGTCAGTGAGAGTTCACTCACGTAGTGAGTTCTTACTCTGCTTGAATAAAGTGTCCTACTAAATTACTAGCTTGATAGCCTGTTTTCAATTTCTGTGAAAATCATGAAATGTTTGAAATTCTTTTAAAAGAGGGACGTTTACGAGTGGAAATACATAAACGCCGAATAAAGTGGCTTTACTCAAAATAAGACGTCAATTCGGATGATTATCTAAAAAGGAACTCCGAAGGAAATTGCATTGAATACCTTATCAAAGAAAATTTTAAAAACCTGCAACCACCCCAAAGACTACGAGAAGATCCGAACTTACGACTCCGCTTTTTTCGATCAAACTTGAACTTTTCTCCAGCTGTCTTTTCATTCTATTTAGTTCTGCAAGTTGGCTTTCCTAACAGTCTTGGTAAATATTAGGACAGTGTTTACTGCTTCTGCCTGATACTTGGCCTTCATTTCCTGAAATGTATTGCTGACGTCTATCAACAGGTTGTTGACTACTTTTGGAGTATTCTCAGTAATGTCAAATATCTCTGCAACAGCCAATACGACTTCGTCTGACTCTACTAGTTCGCACTGTTCAGCGAAATGATAAAGACGGTGTACAGAAAGATCGAAATTTTACTTGCTGAATCCTTCCAATGTCTCTGACGAAGCTAGTAATGTTTGAACTGAATTAGTTTCAGTATTTATAGATCATTTGAACTTACAGATCTATATGCGATCCAATTTTCCGAAAGATGGATTCCTCATTAAGCAGTATCTTTTGAAGAATATCTAGTTTTTTGTTTACAAGCGTTTGCATGCTAGTCAGACGGTCTTTCTCAGATTTCAAAACTACACTTATGCTACTCCTCGTCTGAAAGAAAATAAAAGGACTTAATACAATCTCAAATACAGTGGGCCTGCTGAAACTTGACATCAAAGCCTCCGAACTCTGATTATATTTCCGTAATTCATTCAGGCATGTGCGCATGCGATCCAGCAGCAGATTCAGGCGTCGCAGCTTCTTTATCCTCCCTCCTCTCTCATTCAACTTTTTGAACGTTGCCGAGGACTCCAGGATTTTCTTGACGGAAGGCAGCATGTTCGAAATGGCTTGCTTCCTAGGCTTCTTGTCAGCCTCTTTGAGATTTAGGCAAAATGCTTCACTAGCGATTCGGAGTTCTTTTGCCTCGCTGACGAGCAGTGAGGATGGCAAATCCCATGGCAAGAAAGAGTCCGTTTTCAATTCCTCCATTAGAATACTGAATAAAGTAATTTTGGCAGCAGTTTGAGTGCTGATTGCAGTACTTTTTCCTACCGCATTAAAAAGGATGCGTCGACAGTAGTACACTAATAAACAGAACAATCAACTTTCAAATAGACTGTGGACCTTAGAAGGAGAGTGCAACGACAGAAAGGGCTGAGGTCAATATTGTTCGAACTCTAGGGGACACAGATGTTGCTAAATATGCTGGGGGTCTTTGTGGTAAAATGCGTAGGCTAGAATTTCTAGATAGGTGATATTGTGGGGTAGCGTGCTGCGCAATGATATTTGACGAGAGGTGTTGAGAAAGGCTCCAGTGCTCAGGCAGTTGTACAGTTTGCCTAAATTTGAGGATAGCTGAAGAGTGTCACCGAAATTGCGTTCAAAATCTCGTTAGTATGAGGCGCTTCAACAAGCCATGGATCAGCCCTTTAGGTGGCCCTTCCTGCCAACTAACGCGAAAAGAACCTGCCATAGGTTAGCAGTGCAAATTCTGAAAACACAAACGTCCCCACTGAAGCTGATATCTCTTTATTTTACCCTTAAGGCATCATTATGAGATGAAACAAATGACATACAACACAGAATTCCGTGTGTTTTTTGCAATGCAATGCAAAAAAACCTTAAGGTTTTGCAGTCCAACCAGAACAATCCCCAAGCTGGAAAATTGGCTAGCTGTGCGAGTAGTAAGTGGGAAATATCGACTATTTGTCCTGCTGGCAGCCATCCGCCTGTATCTGGGTGCATATTGTATCCGAGGGAAACTCTGTGGTCGGCGGTCCAGATCCATTCACGGACACCGATTACCTGACTGTTTCCATATTGGCAAAGTCTATTCAGCTAAATTCAATTTTAACCACTTACATTCGTGGCAATTTAAGTCATAAGGCATGTCGAAGACAGCGAAAAACAAATCGGACGCGTTGGAATTTTCAATTTTATACTCAAAACGCAAATGGCCAGGCCAAAAATTAAGGCCCCTACCAAAGCATCTCACGAGTATTGAATGAGGCTGTAAAATTTTTAAAAATATGAGTCCTCACCAACTAGCAGGGGTCTCGATTTTAGTAGCCTCGACGAAGTTTGGTTATTGAGGTGACCTCCATCTATTGAGAAGTCTTCTTTAATTAATTTAAGTGCCTAGTGTTACGGTTGCGAAATCAGCCAGGGACTACAGTTAATGTCTTCCCAATAAATCAGTAGGTACATGTCATTTTCACTGCTGACGACTCAACCCTTTACGATAAATCATTTAAGTTCTGCACCGCAAAACTAAAAAAATAATTCTCTTATTGATATGTGAATTAATCGACAACTTTCGGCTCGTCTATTAGGACTAAAAATATGTTATTTGAAGATTGTAAGTAGGGCCGTCTGCAAGCACATGACTCGGATGTATTTATCGCATAGTAGTCGCATATTCGCTTTGATGTAGTCATTTCGAAATTAATGGAGGACACGGGAATAAGAATTCCTGATCTACGACGACTTTAGGCTAAATTCCTGGGAGGTACCCATCCCCATGTTCTAAATTAACCCTCATCCCAATCCTAACACCAACCTAAACTCTAACCATAGCCCCAGCATTGGCCCTCATAACACTTACACTTAGCCTACTCCAAACTACCTAGAATTTATCCCGTAATACGAGGGATAACAGTCCCGTGCCTTAGCGAAATTAATTTTTTGCCTAAGCGGTCTTTAAGTCAAGTTATCATTAGTATTTGAAATGCAATATGATAAACTAAGTTTCCTCAGTAATGTAGTTACAAATGCATTAGGTTACTTGTTTGATGCAAAGAGCGTTTTTGATTAGTCAGAACCACGCCCATTAACCAATATGCATTATAGTAGAACAGCAATATTAGAAATATATGATGTGGGCTACTATATTCCGTTAGATCCGTATTGCTTTGGCTGTTGGCCTAGCTGGTGGCTTCAATGGAATGCGTTTCAGACACGTTCACGAAGGCTTTTCGGGTAAGATGTGGTTATGTAGCCCCACTTGGTGGACACAATAACGTTGGGGGTGGGGTTATGGTCAGTGGTTAGGGTTAGGGGTTAGGATTGGACGCTAGGGATAGGGTTCAGGGCAACTATTTCTTAACCACACACAGTACAACCGCGCATTCCCAATAGCTTTTCTTTTGCATACAACTACTTTACCTCACAGCCTGTGCGTTCCCCGGCCTCATCTGTAAAAACCCCTATTACCAGCGGCCCCATATTACAGGTGGCTGGGGTTTGTTTACTTCAGGTGGGGCTACATAATCACATCTGACCGATTTTTGTCCTGTGACGTACTTCTTAGAGAAAAATGAATATCTGAGCGAGTATAATTTAAAGAACAAAAAAGACCGACTAAAAATCCAGCCCTCTTGCACCAACGGCCGCTTTACTGAAATGTCGTGAGCAAAACGCCTAGGCAGCATTTTAGGTTGATTACACTATGACGCATCCTGCATTTAAACTCGTAGTGATTTTTGCAAACAGCTCACAGCTCTCTCGAGGCGTCAAAAGTGGGCTGCGTCTTCAGAGGTCAGAAGTGCGCATTGATACTTCCGTCTGTATAGGGAATGAACATCATATACAGGGCAACTTCCAGCCAAAATATGACGTTTGGCAGCCAAAAGTAAATGATGCCAGTAAAGGCCGAAGAAGGATAAAGGATGCAGATAAGGTAAAAGAGAAGGCAAGGGAAGGCGACTAAGGAGGAGGAGGAGGAGGAGGAGGATGAGGAGGAGGAGGAGGAGGAGGAGGAGGAGGAGGAGGAGAGAACAATCTGGGGATGGTTGAAGAAAAAGACATGATTATGAAGTCCGCTAAAAGAAAGACCTTACAGACTTGTTTTCCGCCACAGCAAAACATCAAATGTCCAAGTCCTATAGAGTAAATTAAGTGATTACAGATATATGGAATAACATTAAAAATAATAGGCGCTTTTGGCCGAGAATTCTTCAGGCGGCAGGAGATAGACGAAAGTAACGAGTTCCCAAATAAACATTCAGAGAGACAAATTGGGAACTTATAAACAGCACAAGAGCCACTGGAGACGGAACCCATCTATAACTGTTATAAGTGACACTGCGGAATGTAGGTGAGCACCCGATACAAGTCCGTCGGCAGCTAATCGAGTAAGACGAAACTATTGATAGACGTCGCGTTGTGGTCACGCCGTATCTGAGTCAGTCGACGAGGTCCATAGAATGGACCGGAAGCAACAAAGGTAAACAGAGGTGATCGTGACCATGCTAGTAGTATGCGAAGTTTTTCTGGCGCGGTCACATGTTCAGCCTTTGAGAAGTCCTTATAATTTGTTTCAGCCTCCAACAGTATAGTGATGAGATAGGGGAGTTTTTCACCACTCGTTACCAAGCCCTGAAATCGGTTACCAGATTAAACTGTCTTAGTCTCTATGTGAAGATTGCCTTTCCATGTATTTTTGGTACCAAGACAATCCACAGTGAAACAGGTTAGCGTGGAACTATTTATCCACGATCCTATGATCCGTGTGTCCCACAATCACAACAAAAACCCATACTAGCATCCCGCCCTGTATATATTAAAGCTTTAATAACACTCCTCGGTGAGAAGTAGTGTTTCCTGTGAGTAGATATTCCACCTAACATGCACATCTTCGCCACCTTTTCACGTCTTCTCAATTTTCTCCATTACCACTTCCTGCACTGCCTAATTTCTTCTACCTTCTCTCATCTTCAATCTTCAATTAAGTCCAATCTATTCGAGGGACATTTGCGTCTGCGCCTTTGAACTCTCTCTTTATTACAAGCAGCGGAATTACTTTAAAAAAATCGGCAAGGCAAGTACCGAAAAGTAATAATGAATTATCAGAAATATACAGCCAGACAAATGATTTCAAATGTTGGTAGCATCGGTGCGTATACATACATATGTATATGTGCAAACGTATATGTATTCATACTGGATGTAGGGGTGTCCAGTTGCGCGTCCATGTGAAGGCCATAGTAGGTCACTCACTCACCTGAAGGTGTTGACTACGTCTAGCACCAAGTAACTGACACCCAACTCTCCCTCATAACACCCCGGAGCTAGCCTCTGTCTAGCAATCACAACCCGGTAACCGCCTAGACCGGCGGGCTGAACCACTTGAGGGTGTCCGCGCTTGCATCTCCACTGTTCTGTCTCTGACTAAAGTCCGTAACCTGTAGTGGGGAGAGGTATTCGTCTGGCGCGACAAAACAGCCCTATTTAGAAAGACCGCTACCTTGCCCTCAAGGGGAGCGGTTATATATGGTACCCTAAACAAAGCTTGGCTCACGACATCTGCGCGCAGACCGTGGCCCTCGGACTATTCAACATGCGGTCGAAAAAACACAAGGTAAAATACTATTTAGGGAAAGGAGATCCCATACTAACAGTACAGGTACTAGCCAAAAGCCCATACACACGTTTTTCGTCGATACTCTGCCGCTGCATGACACAGCTGCGAAGGGTCCGGCTCATCAGTTAGTCCACCAGCGTTCCCCGTCTGCTTTCTGGTAGATACTCTTATTTCGAAGTCGTTGTTTTTTAGTTTCTCCCTCTCTCTCTTTCTCTTCCCATTTTTCTTCATCTTCTTCTCCTTCCTCTTCCTCTTCTTCTTCTTCTTCTTCTTCCTCTTGTTCTTTCTCCTTCTTCTTTTCCTTCTTCTTCTTCTTCTTCTTCTTCTTCTTCTTCTCCTTCTTCTTCTCCTCCCTCTTGTTATTTCTCCTTCTTTTTTCCTTCTTCTTCTTCTTCTTCTTCTTCCCCTTCCTCCTCCTCCTCCTCCTCCTCCTCCTCCTCCTCACCGCCTCCCCATCTCACAGGCAGCTAGGGTGAGTTCGCTCACTCTGGCGGCCGGGTATGTTCGTCCCCTTTTAGATAAGCAAAGGGACAATCGACCGGAACGAAGACCGGCGCTAGTCGATCGGGAATTGGCACGCTACAAGGTGGACATCGCTGCACTCGGTGAGACCCGGTTCTCCAAAGAAGGCCAACTGGAGGAGGTGGGTGTCCGCTACATTTTCTTCTGGAGCAGTCGCCCCAAGCCTGAGCGACGTGACGCAGGCGTAGTCTTTGCCATCCGGGATGACATCGTGGAACGACTGCCCTGTCTACCGCAGAGCATCAAAGATAGCCTGATGAGCCTCCGCCTGTCTCTCCGGGATGGCAAATTCGCCACCATTGCAAGAGCCTACGCCTCAAGAATGACCAACCCAGACGAGATGAAGACAATGTTCTAGGAAGACCTGCACACTCTCTTGACGTGACTGACGAAGGTGGACAAGTTGATTGTCCTTGGTGACAGACTGTTCTGCCTAGAGGGGAGTCCCGAGTCCTCACGGAACTGCCGGCTGCAATGACAACGGCCTTCTTTTCACGTGGACCTGCGCTAAACGCCGCCTCCCGCTGACCAACGCATTCTTTCGACTGTCATTACGGGAGAAGAGAACGACTTGGACGCATTCGATACCGCGGCATTGGCAGCTGTTGGACTACGTCCTCGTTCGATGGCGAGGTCAACAAGACGTGGTGGTGACCAAGGCGATCTGCAACGCCGATGCTGGACGGACCACCGCCTCGTCATCTCAAAGATGAAGCTCCGTCTGCTAGCTCGCAGGAGGCCTCAAGTTAAGCAACCCCCAGATAAGCGGAATATCTTTTCGTCGTAGTTGTCTGCTCACCGTTTGGAGTTCAACAACCACATGCCAGCTGTAGATGAGAACGCCTCCGTCGAGACTCGATGATGCCGACTACGGGATGCCGCTCATTCGGTCGTCCTGTCTGTCCTCCGCCACGCACATCGCCATCACCAGGACTGTTTGACGAAAATGATGCCGTCATCAGCAACCTGCTGGTCTAGAAGAGCAGGTTGCACGGAGACTACCTGGACCGCCCAAACGATGCGCATAGAGTCTCCTTCTACCAATGTTGCCGCCTAGCACAGCAGCGGTTGTGAAAAATGCAGGACTGCTGGATGGCCCGAAAGGCCGAAGAAATCCTGGCATACGCCGACCTAAACGACTCAGAGAATTTCTTCACTTCAATCAAGGCGAACTACGGCCCCCGACCAAAGGAACTGCCCTGTTTCTCAGCTCTGATGGATCAACGCTTTTGACGGAGTAGTCGCAATATCTGAAGCGCTGGGCCGAACACTTCAGAAGCGTCCTTAATCACCCCCTCCACAATTTTCGACGCCTCCATCGACCAGCTCCCCCAAGTAGAAACCAAAGTCTGCCTGGATCTCCCGCCCTCCCTTCCAGAAACCATTCGAATCGTGCAACATTTCTCCAACGGAAAAGCATCAGGCCCTGACAAAATCCCAGCCGAATTCTACAAACAAGACGGCCACCGCCTGATGAACCAAATCACGACGCTCTTTCAGGAGATGTGACACTGTTTACAAGTTCATCAGAGCTCCAGGGATGCAAGCATTATTCACTTCTACAAGCGCAAAATCAACCGGCAACCGTGCAGCAATCACAGAAGTATCTTACTACCTAACATCGCCAGAAAGGTCTTAGACGGCATACTCCTCAATCGCCTCAACGGACACCTCGAGCAAGGACTCCTACCGGTCTCGTTGAGCACCTTCGGACCCAATGTGCCATCGATCCGACAACGACTACCTCTTCTCCCACCCTCGTCCCCTGCCGCAAACCTCGCTCCGACCTCCACCCCCGTCACCGCTGACCACAATGTCGCTGCCCCGCCACCACCATTCACCGACATCATCCGCGCTGCTCCAAGCTCTGCACCGACCGGCGCTACCAGCATCACCACCATCACGGTTCCACGCACTTCCCCCACCGATGGGGTCACGTTTTATTTCACATCGCCTTCTACCACCACCATCATCATCATCATCATCATCATCATCATCATCATCATCATCATCATCATCATCATCATCATCATCATCATCAACAACAACAACAACAACAACAGCAACACTCCCACCACCAGCGATGTAGAATCGGCTCATACCTGCCCTCATTGCAATTGCCCATTCACTTCACACATAGTCCTGGTTGGTCACTTGCGAAACCATCGCACAGAGGCTGACGAGCCAGTGCCTGGAGCACCAATCTACACTAACCGCGCCCGCCTCAACAGCACTCACCGACCCCGTACATTCACTCACCCTAAGTACTTACTAGGTCACATACGCATTCACGAAAACCTGCGGCAGACAACCGCCAACCACATTACACATCACCCGCCATCACCCGCATCATGAATGTGAGCAGCTTGCTTCCCGACTCCGTATCCATGCCGTTTCTCTGCTGCATGTGTGACAGGAGTCTGAGGCTATCACGGTGCGCCAAACGCTGTGGCTCGGAAGGCTGCCGACCGACGCCTCAACTCAGTCCACACAGTCTGCCCAGTTGTGTGTGTTTGTGTGGAGTGAAGGACTGGCTAGCTGACAGTCAGGCTGTCACTGCTCCGTCTTAACTGATTTGCGACACTTATATATGTGAGTGTGTTTATGTGGACTATATTGTGTCCATTTGTAGGTCCGCGTGACGGTTGCAGTAGGTCGCCCACTTGCTTGCAGGTGCAGACTACGTCTATAGTCCATTAACTGGCACCCAACTCTCAATATGACTTCACGGAGCTAGGCTATGCCTAGCGGCCACACCCCGGTAACCGTCTCGACTGGCGGGCTAGACCAGATGAGGGTGTCCGTGCGTGCATCTCCGCACACGGTAAGTCGGCTCCGCCGGCCGGATTGATCGCCGCCTCGGTATCTCCGAGAGGAGCCTTGATCAGTAACATCACATGAGGCCACAAGGTAAGTGAGTCCCAGGTAAGTGAACACTGCTCTGTCGTCTTTACTTTGCTTGTCCTTGTTTGTCTGATTCTGTCTACTAGTTTGTGTTTGTCCTTGTTCTACGGTAAGAGGACCAACTCATGAAATCTCAACAAAAATTCCAAAATGGGTTTCCGTTTCGAGAAGATTAGTTAAGTGGGGTTGTAAAACCAGTCATCTGCAGCATAATTCGATAAAAATTCAAGTACCCCAGGACACTGGCTTTCGAAGAAACTTCCCTTCGGCTATGCTTCGTAAAAAATGATTGCTTAAGTAGCATGCACTTTTTCATTGATTTTCGACGCCCTTAAAGATTCAATTATCTTTCGTGGAAAATATGCATAAAAATATTCATTCTTTTGCTCATGCGGTAGGAAATTACGTTTTATAAAACTTTTCCAATTCCAGGATAATTTTGAGCCCAACCTGCCGTTACACTTGCATTCAGGGTTCCCAAACTACAAGCTGTATAATTTCCGCGTACGGAAAACCACACATTTCTCTATCGTAATAAAGGGGAACCATAGAGGGTTCATAAAATTCAGCAGTGGATTTAGGCCACATTGTTACATTTGCAAGCCACACTGGTAAATACAGAGACATGACGTTTTATGAAGGGCCATTCCATGGTATTAACAATTTCACAATTAGAAACTTTTTAAAACTGAATTATACCCTTCCTTCGAGTGTAAAAGTAAAGAAGACGTAATCTTCTACTGAATGAGCAAAAGAATGAATATTTTTATGCATGTTTTCCATGAAAGATAATTGAATCTTTAAGGGCCTCGAAAATCAATGAAAAGTGCATGCTACTTAAATAATCATTTTTTACGGAGCATGATATTTGGATGCAGCCGAAGGGAAGTTTTTTCGAAAGCCAACGTCCTAGAGTAATTGAATTATTATATAATCATGCTGCATGATGATTGGTTTTACAACCCCACTTAATTAATCATTTCGAAAGGGAAACCCATTTCGGAATTGCTGTTGAGATTTCATGAGTTAGCCCACCTAATGTGAGCTAAATGCCGTTCCGTTGAATTTTTCTTCTGTCTGCCCTTACCCTTACTCGTTCTTTCCCGTCTGCCCTTAGTCTGCTTGTTTTTGTTCGTATTTGCTGTACGCCAACTGCCGTTCGTTTGAATTTGTTCGCTCACTCTCTATATATTTCAGCAACTAGTTCGCGTTGAAAATGACGAAAAAGCTCTGCTTCCTATCTCTTTACCCTTCCCCTATCCCAATTTCTCCGCGCTTTAAGTCCTTCGGCAATGTTTTAGGTAGGTCCAGACTAACTCGGGTCGTCCTCCCACTAGACAAAAGTCTTGGCCCAGAGTTGAGTTCGGCAGCCGTCTGGGACAATTGGGCAGCCCTATTTAGAGAGAACACTGCTCACACCCACGAGGGAACAGGTACTTGAGAAGGTGCCCTAAACAAATGCTGGGGACCCACGCCGTCTGCAGGCTAACCGTGGCTTTCGACAAAAAACTCACGGCCAAAATAACCAAATCTGAAACAAAGACGCTCTCTTTTCCCCTCCTCCTCCCCACCACGCCACTCGTGAGACTGGTAGGGTTAGTCCGCTCACACTTGCATCCTGGAATGTTCCTTTTTCTTTTAGACAATCTGAGAAGCAACAGACCAGAACGGAAGATGTCTTTAGTGGCTGTGGAGCTGACGCGATACAAGGTGGACATCCCCGCAATTAGCGCGACCCGGTGTTCCGTGCAAGGCCACCTGGAGGAGGTTGGTGCCGGCTGCACCTTCTTCTGGAGAGGTCGCCCCAGGACAGAGCGAGGGTACGTGGGCTTCGCCCTTGTCATCCGGAACGACATCATGGGACGATTGCCCTGTCAACCTCAGCGTATCAATGACACTCCAAAAATGCGAACTAAGTTAGGAAGTGATAATGGCAGTGCACTCAGCTGAAGAACAATGACCAAATCACTGGCAGAGTAGAAGCTGTCCGATCGCCACCACAGAAGAAGATAAAAGGATTCCACATAGAAAAGACTACCGCATTGACGGAAACTTCAGAGGGAATCTTGGAGCATATGACAAGGCATGATATTAATCCGCCGCAGAAGAGCAGCAAGCAGACGATCATCGCCCCCCGCAGTGAGACCGAGGAGAAGCAGGCAATTAATAATAAGACTCAGACCGTTCACATGCAACTGAGGTCACATCGAAAGAAGAAGTTAATTCAAAAGGGTCTGATGACTGAAAAGGGAGATACAGAAATCGGACGACTTCGGAGTACTTGAAGAAAAGAACTTCCTAGGGTGGAAAAGCAGAGATCGTCTGAGCAATCGACAGAAACCTCCAACGCCCGCGTAGACACAGACGCGGCAAATGCGAATATCCTTTTTATTGACATAAAAGACAGGAACAGTATTGCCACAAACACGATGCCATTAGTTCAAGAAAAGGCCCCTAGACTGGATGGCAACCAGAATATCGTCATGAACGGTTTGCCAGGAACTCCCAAGTCACCAACATCACGCAACAAAGACCGGCCGCCACGAGAACAGTGCCAAGTAATACAGGGACTTCAGGAGCCACACGCAGACACACCTAAAGGACGCGTACTAGCTGATCTCGGCTTGTTCCAAGGTCTTCTGAATACAATGCTTCAACCCAACGAACACGTTTCAGTGTTGAAAGCCTTCAGACGCGAAAAGTGCACCACTAAACCCGCTATTCCACTGCATCCTAGGCCCCTTAAAATTGTTCTGAGTTGAAAGGAGCATGTTGATCTCATCCTCTCAAGACGTTTTAGGTTAAAATATTCCCGAAAAGGAGTTCTTTTCAGCCGGATTACACACCACCGGAGCGGAGCCGACAGTTAGTCCGGAAGCTAAGGCTGAGCCAAAGGAATGGCGAGCAAAGCCTGGATATCTATAACAACTGCATAATCGAGCGACCGACCCGGTTTATATGGACGCGGCCCCTGAGTATGTCGCTACAGCGTCATAGCCGGCTTAGCAAAGGCAAATAGCTAAAATGCTTATATTCCAATGCGCAAAGTCTGCTATCTAAATTAGATGAGCTTATGATCTACGTTAAGCAAACCTTACCCGATGTAATATCCATAACTGAAACGTTGCTGTCCGCGAGCGTAGACGATCACGAAGTCGCTTTATCCGGTTATCACTTGTTCGGAAGGGACAGCTTGGGACGTCAAGGTGGGGATGCGCTCATATATGTCAAATATGCCTTTTTGCGTCAGAAAAAGAGGGGCATCTCGAGCGCACAAATGAAACAATTTGGATCACTATCAAAACGCTGGGGTCACAGCCTCTCGAGATCCTGACGGCCTACCGCCCACCAAGGAAGGATCCACAATCAGACATTAGTCTACTAGAGGAATAAGAAGCGATTTCGACCCGACCCAATTTCATGACAATGGGCGACTTTAACGCTCCGAATAACGACTGGAATCTGACTTCTGTCCCAGGCGCAGAATTCAACTTTGATCGCCGCCTCCTAAAATCAGTGCAAAGATCGCATCTCACACAAAACGTCTTATCCCCAACCAGACGACGTTAAGGGCAACTAGCTAACTGCTTAGACCTTGTATCGACAAAGGCACCGAAAAGTGTTGATGTCGTAAACTGTCTATCCCCTCTCAGAAAAAAGCAACCATGCAGTCCTACAGTAGGAGTATTCTCTCTTCTCTGTACCTGAGCAGACGCAACATATGGCGTTGAGACTTCAAACAAATGCGTCGTAGAGACTGGAAAGCAGCATTCATGGGGCGTGTTTTCAAGGACTGGTTAGAGTTTAAGGCCGTACTGAATGAACTTATCACCAGATACTGCCCTATGTTGAAAAAGAAAATCACCAGCAGGTCCCGATGGCTAAAGAGTTCACTAAACGTTGAAGTAAACCGTAAGCAAACGTTTTAGAAAGCTTAACTTAGGGATAAGACAATTGAATCAAGGAATTGATACAAGGCTCAGCGGAATAGGATGAAGTGCCTTGTTTACAAAGCTCACCAAGACTTCGAGGGTATCCTTTTAAACTGTGCAGGAGAAAACCCAAAGCTTTTCTTCAACAACATAAGACAAAGTACTCGCAACAGGGATCCCATACCTATGTTAAAAAGGAATGATGGCGTTGAACTTTACAAGGACGACGAAAAGGCTAGGCATCTGTCCAGGCTCTTTCGTTCGGTTTTTACGAGAGAAGTCGCTGTACCCGCTGATCCATATAATGTGGACGATGTCCCGAAAATTGGGTCGGTAGTTCACACAAATGCTATTGTTCCACAAGAACTACTGAAGCTAAAATAAGCGACATCGCCCTGTCCTGACGAAATACCGGCAAAGTTGTTGAACGAATTAACCACAGAATTGGCAGAGCCTCTGTGTCTCCACTTTCAAGCCTCTCTTGATGCTGGCAGACTGCCTCCTGAGTGTAAGACTGCGTGGATTTCACCGACACAGAAAGGCGGCAGTCGAGCTTTCGCAAATAACTACCGACCGGTAAGCCTCACCTCCATATGCTGCAAAGTTATGGAGCGAATTATTAAACGCGAAATGATGCGGTTTTTACAGCATCATCATTGTTCATCCGATGCACAGCATGGGTTCTGCAGAGGAAGGTCCTGCTTGACCAATCTACTCTACTGTCTTGAACAGTGGATCCGAGCGATTGATGAAGGAAACGTGGTGCATGTAGCCTACATAGACTTCAAGAAGGCCTTTGACAGAGTGCCACACAAACGTCTCCTATACAAGCTCAACCGCATAGGGGTAAGAGGCAAACTTTTGAAGGGGATAGAAAACTTTTTGATCGTTCGGTCTCAGACCGTCCGTCTTGGTGGCCAGCAATCGGCAGAGGTCATGGTTAGGAGCGGAGTACCTCAGGGCTCCGTTCTTGGCCCTATCTTCTGCATCTACGTTGATGAATGCATCCAGGGTTTGGACTGCGACATTGCTATGTTTGCTGACGATATAAAGCTTTGGGCCGTCACCCAAAAAGAGGACGATGAATTAAATGTACAGGTAAACTTAGGCCGACTCGAACAATAGTCAGTTCGCTGGCTCCTCCCACTTAATATTGCCAAAAGCAACATTCTGAGGACTGGCAGAACCAGCTCTGCGCACCGGCAGACGTTCTATCTAAATCACATACCGCTGCCACTGGTAGAGGTTCAAAAATATCTAGGTGTGTGGACAACATCTTTACTAAAGCCATCATTTCACTGCTTGAAAGCAGCGAAATCCGCAATGTCCAACTTATATCTCATCAAGCGGACATTTGCGAAGTTCTACAAAGAGTGCTTTCGCAAGGTCTTCGGGATGTTTGTGCGCCCACAGTTAGAATTTTCCATTCAGGCCTGCAGACCATGGCCTGTCAAAGATCGTACCACCCTCGAGAAAGTCCAACGACAGGCAACCAAACTTGTCAGAGGTCATAAAAACCTACCTTATGAAACTAGACTGTCAAATCTTTTCCTCTTTCCCCTGGACTACCGACAACTACTTGGCGACTTAATTCAAACGTTTCGAATGCTACGAGGTCAGGATTGCTGCCTCGCATCCGGCGACTTCTTTCAGCTGGCCGCCACTACTAGCTTGAGAGGACATCCTCTGAAACTACGTGTGCCAGGGGCGAGACTGGACGCAAGGAGGTCCTCCTTCAGCCACGGAGTGGTGAAGGCATGGAATGCCCTGCCTGTGGATAACGTCATGTCCTCATCCGTGGACCCAGTTACGAGAAAGCTCGACCAGTACAGGGATATGTACCCCCACGGCATCAGAAACTAACAAATTTCTCCCCTTTACCACCCTAGCCAAAATTTTACTTTAAAAGACACGCTACCCCCCATCTTTAAGTAGTATTATTTTTTGGAATTTTTGCTATCTACCGACCGGAGCATATGCGCTTGCTTCTATAGTATTTGGTCCATTCAGTACAGTGCTGGTTATTGTACAATTTTGACATAGAAGGCATTCACAGACAAATTTATACCAGTAACCAATGCTTGTTGTACGTGATTACTTACCTGATTTTCATGACACTCGCCTTACACATTGTTTTTTCATGACGTTATCGTAACCAAAAGGAAGTTCAAAGGCACTCGCCCACATTTCCCTTAATAAATCTGATCTGCTCTGATCTGACCGCCTGATAAGCCTCCGTCTGCCTCTCCAGGTAGGCAACTTCGTCACCATCATCAGTGTCTACGCTTCCTGTTGACCAGTTCTGAAGAGGCGTGGAAAAAGTTGTACGACGACCTGCACACCCTCCTGGTGTCTGTGCCTAAGACGGATAAGCTGATCGTCCTTGGTGGCTTGAAAGTCCACGTCGGCACAGACCACGCTGCCTGGAGAAGAGTGCTTGGTCCCCATGGTCTCAACGGCTCCAGTGACAATGGCCTGCTCCTCCCACGAACCTACGCAGAACACCGGCTCATCCTGACCAACACCTACTCCCGCCTCCCGATGCGAGAGAAGTCCACCTGTATGCACCCTTGGTTGCGACACTGGCACCTGCAGGACTATTGCCTCGTCCGGAGGCGAGACCATCAGGACGTGTTGGTGGCAAAGACGATGCCGGGTGCCGACGGGTAAGCCGATCATCGTCTTACCATCTCCAGGATGCGGATACACCTACAGCCCCGCAGGAGACCCCAAGGTAAGCGGCCCTCAGGTGAAGATTGCCTTGTTGTCTTTGCCTGCACATCAGGCCCATTTCAGCAACATGCTAGCTCAACGACTAGTCAACTTTCCAATCGCTGCTGCTGACGAAAACGCCTCCGTAAAAAAACAGACGGCGTCAACTGTGGTACACATTCCAGTCAACGGTTATGGCCGTCCTCGGTCGCGCACGCCACCAACACCAAGACTGGTTCTAGGACAACGACGCGGCTACCAGCCAACGCTATCTGCTGCATACCGTTCGCCTAACCTGGTGTCTGATTATGGTTTCCTTCTTATAATTTGAACTGGACGCAGTCAGGAAGAGGAATTATGTCCTTATCACTGAAATTTTAATGCTCTTGGCGTTGACTGGTAAACATAGGCCGGGCAAGACCTGCAGACAAATTTTATCGCAAATTGCGTCGGTGGGCAGTAGCCATGCCTCTTAATCAGAAAGTTACCTTCGGTTCACAAGCAGGGGAAAGACAACAGTTAAACTGTTTTACCGTACTTTACACTCAAGTGGAGAAAAATGTGCCTCGGCCATAGGACTGACCACCATTAGGATTGAGCAAACGTATTGTGCCACACTTCGAGAACTCAGTGTTTTCTGGACTAAATTTGCCTGATAGGTAGGAGAGAAACATTTGGAAAGGCGACTGTCTACAGATAAGTGAAAAAAGTCTCCGAGGCGCCATGGGCAATTTGATTTTATGGTAGAATAAATAACCATTGACAGACTGTCCTTTCGTCCTGAGAACGTTTGCTGACCTCAATTGTATTATCAGAAAAAGGACAAACAACAACCACCCGACGTGAATAAACTCCGAATTTTAGATGTCTTTTAGAGAAGGAAATGATCCTTGGAAGCGCTATTGGCTAACTGGCATTAAAGAGTACTTACGAGAAAATAATCATCAATGGAACATTTGTAAAGGCAAGGTTGTAGAGTTTGGAAGAAAATTTCAGCGGAACATTTTACAAAATTAGCCAGAACACCCCAGAATTTCATACAACTACGTATATAATAGTAAAACAGACCGGGACTTTATTCCCGCCCTTAGCTTTCCAGTAAGAACACTTCAGACCGATGGGAAAACCAAACGCATGCTTTTTTCCTAATTTCTTCAGTCGGGACCGTAATAAAATAGAATGGAATAAATTTATTATAGCACCTCTTCGGCACTGTCAGTCTCCTTTGAACACAGGAAAAAAGCCTAGACCAAACTCATCCATCTCGACTGCACTTTGGCTTCATTGGTTTTGGGTGTCTGCTTCATCTTTTCTACACGTTTACTAACTAATCTCCTTTCCCCTTCCTCAGTTAGGGAAATTTGTACTTCGTCGGCATTAGTTAGGACGGAACTATTCCGACTCCATTCCGTCAAAGCACCTACATCTGACCTAACACCTGCTCTCAGGGTTCAAAGACTTGCCAATGAATTGTGCGAATCATTAATCACCATGCTCCGAAGGGTTGTAGGAGTGTCTAGTTGGAGAGTAAACCGTGTAGGTGTGCTAATTCACGTCCAGCCAGTGATGACTGCTCCACACGACACCTAATTAGCATACAATCCTTACCTACATCTCCCAAAACTTAGCACTGCCTAGAGGCCACACCCCGATAACCGACTCCATCGGCGGGCTGAACCTTACGAGGATATCCGGTGTTATGTGCGTCTACGCACCGATAATTCTGACCCGTTCGCACTCAACCTTGTCTCCATTTTTGAGAGTCTTATAAAAAGGACAACATGCAAGCCAGTAGACGGCCCGGGGAACTCGGGGGACTCTCCAGCTTACATAACCGTGGACAAAGTGGAATTGGGCAGCCGTCTGGGGTGAATATACTGCCTTGCTGAGGGATGGCACTGTTTACCACCTGATGGGAAAAGGGTATGAAAATGTGCACCAAAAATATTGGGACTATGTCAGCTTCATGTATACCGTGGCTGGTAGGTGTAAAACTCATAGTCTAAACAGAACAACGTACACCAGCAAACCTTGTGCCCATACCCCACTCCCGCCCACAGGCTGCTAGATTAAACCTGCATGCATTAGTAGATTAGAGTTTTCGTTCTCTTTTAGACAATCCAAGGAACAACCTGTGGAAGGGAGGACACTGTTTATTGATCAAGAAATGGTGCGCTACAATGTGGACATCTCTGCCCTCAGCGAGATTTGCTTCCATCAACGGATTGAGCTGAAAGGAATGAGTATGCACCACACCTTCTTCGGGGGCCGCCTAAAGCCAAAGCAAAGAAACGCTGGCGTAGCCTTTGCCATTTGAAACGACATCGTGGGTTGAATGCCCTATCTGTTGCAGAGCGTTAACGAAAGTCTCATGACCGTATGTCCGCCTCATTGGGGAGCACATGGCGCTACCACTTCAAGCGTCTATGCTTCCCGGTCACCAAATCCGTCAAGGCGGAAAACAGATTCTACTATGATTTACACACCCTCTTGGCGGCCATGCCCAACACGGATAAATCAGTGGTATGTATATATGTTTATATATTTGAAGGGTTAGAGACATAGCCCTTTCTGATTCTATTTATTTAGAGTGCCTTCGCAGATTCGTACTCAAAAATAAAACTACAGGCATTTACAATGTCATCGGGACACAGTTCAATCTTAATCATAAGGTAGTGCATAAGGGAACTGCAGATTAGTGCGGAAGGATTGTATATAACATTTTTTTTACAAAACTGGCTGTGCGTAGTCATGATGTAAAAACCGATTTCTGTCGAAATCTAGGCGAGCAAGTTTTCTTTTAGATATCCAAATTGTGTCACCCGTCGCCATCTCGCCTGGAAGCGAGTTCTATGGTCTGACGATCCGCTGGCTGAGTGAAAATTTTCCACGGTCTAACCGCGTGCGCTCATTCCTGACTTTGTAGACATAGCCGCAGCTTCTAATCTCGTGCCGTTAATATAGTACTGGTGTTTGGGAGAGGTATTGCAGCCGGTGTTCAGGCGCAAGACCACGCATTTGGACACGTTTAACTTCAAAAGCCATCTGCTTGACCAAACACACAGTTTGTTGATGTTGGACTGCAACTTCTCTGCATCATCATCGCACTTGGCTTCACTTCATATTTTATGTCATCCGAGAACACGAGAGCCTCGCAATTCACTTCGTTGATGCAGTCAGTAATATAAATCAGGAAGAGTACTGGGCCTAAGACAGAACCCTGTGGGGCACCACTTTCCACTTTTACCCATTCCGAGGTAGAAATACTAACGACGATTCGTTGTACTCTGCAGGACAGAAAACTCCTGATCCGTTTAAACATTCTTCCTTGAATCCCTACACCCCAGATCTTCTGCAAAAGAAGCCTGTGTGGGACACTGTCAAAGGCCTTCTTGAAGCCAAAAATATGACATTCACTGGAAAACCTTATCGGTAGCT